GCTGTGGCCCTGGCTCAGCACAGAAGCTATAACCCTTGTTCTCGAGGTGGGTGGGTCAGGCTGGGCCCCAGGAGATGTGCTCTCAGGTGTGACACCCACAGAAGGCGTGGAAGCACAATCATTTTGTCTAATTACATCCTGGTTAAAAAAAACAGGACCGATTTCCACTGAACCTATGCAAATAACTAGGTTTCCATTAGAGGTGAATAGTCAGTAACCACGATATTTCCCAAATTCTGAAGTGAGAAAATGCCACTTTAAGGAGGTTCAGTTTGCTTGTGAAAGCTTGGTCTACTAAATGAAAGGCTAGATGTGAAATGAGAAGAAAGAAAAAGGATTTTATAAAATTACTTCTACCAGAAAACAGGACATTACAGAGTAACACCAATGTCTCCTTGCCTTTGTTCTTCATCAGTCTGAAGCTCTCAGTCACAGATACCCTGGGGTGAGGTGGGTGCGGGGCTGTGGGCTAGGAGGGGCAGGGGTGTCCCCAGGGCTGAGCCTCTGGAAGATGCATCTGATGGGGGCTGGTGGTTGGTGCCTCTTGGGCCAAGTTTCTGGCTGGGAGAGCCAGACGCACAATGGGGATTGAGCTGTGAGCTGCATGCAGAGGCTTCTCACTGTTGAAAATCATAAACACAGAAAGGGGGGAGGACAGAGCGAAATCTGTCGTATTGGAACTGAGGCTGTCAGTATGGACTCAAGGTTCATTCGGGGATAGCGGAAAAGGTACAAGTGTGTGTTGGTGTGCATGTACCGACACGCACACCCCCAGCTCTGCCGAGGGGACGAGGAATCTCACTTTGTAGGGCACTTCTCCTGTTTAGCGTCACGTGTCTGAAATGTGGCCCCGTGGCTCCAGGTGGCGTGATTCATTCATCACAGTGGCTGTGTGCTATTCCGTCACGTGGACACACCTCACTTTATTCATTTTATTGTCCCTGGACACTTAAGGGTCTCCCCTCAGTATTTTTGCTGTTAAAAACAGCGCTGCTTGGCACCCTGACACATCTCCTGATGGACCAGTGCAGGTTTCCTGGCATAGGACGTACCCCAGAATATGTATCAGCTGAACCCTACGAACCCTACAGCAGGGAGCAAGTGTTTCCCAAACTGCTGCAATGTCTCCCCGCAACAGGCACCTCTTCTTCCACAGGAAGCGGGGCGTGTCTCTCACCTCCCGAGTCTGGGCGGCTTCGTGCAGCAGGGACGCTGTGACCTCGGAGGCTACGATGTGATCCAGTACCCACCTGCTTCCCCTGGGACTCTTGCTCTGGGGATCTGGCCACCCTCCCACGAGGAGGTCCCCAAGGTCCTCGGACAATAGTCTGAGCCAGCTTGTCAGCCACATGAGGCACTGTCTTGGCTGTGGCCTCTTTAGCCCCCGGTGGAAGTGCCCCCGGGGGTGGCAGGATGGCACAGACCAGCAGAGCCCTCTGAATCTTGCCCAAACAGCAGACTCACGAACAAAAGGAATGACTTGTTTTGGGCTACAAAGTTTTGGGGCTGGTTTGTTATGCAGCAAGAGATAACTGATGAACACGGCCAATTTCTCTGAGGAAGGCCATACTGTCTACCCAGACAGCAGTGCCACCTGACGTCTGGCCAGCACCACATGCGAGTCTCAGCTGACCTGCCTCATAGCCATCACTGGGCCTTGTCGGACTTTAACAGCAGTGCTCATTGATGTGGTTTTTAGCTTGCATTTCTGAAATTGCTAGAGGTTGCTGGCCCTTTCTGTGTTCTCCACGAGGAAACTGGTTATGGGATCTGCTCATCCTTCTACGGGCTTGTCTTTTTCTCATAGACTTGAAAGGGTTCTTTCTATATTCTGGATTCTAATCACTTGCAAGGTATGTATGTGTTGCAAAAACCTTCGTCTTTAGTTTTTCATTCTCTTCATGGTTTTTTGAGGAATAAAAGTTGTATGGTACATACTTTCCATCCTTTTATTTTCAATCTCTGTGACATTTTAGGTGTGTTTCTTGTAAACGGTATTTAACAATATTTACATTCTAATTTGAGAGTCTCTATCTTTGAACAGAGGAACTTAATTCAGTCATGTCTCCAAAGACTCAATGTTTGAATTTACTCCTGTCATCTCATACGATGGTCCTTACTTATCAAGTATTTATCTTTTCCTCTTTTCTGCTTTTTGTAGGCACTGTCAATTTTTCTTCATTTCAGCTCTCCCTAGGCTGTTTTGAAATCTATAAATCCTATTTCCATTTTTCTAGTGGAAACCTTGATATCTCACCATTTTGGACTTTTCCCCACAGATCCTATGAGCCTCGGACAACACGAAGACCTCAGCATGCTCTCTCCCTGCCCCTTGCTCCCCTGCCATAGGCCACGGGAGCTCACGTGGGGCTCCCTCTCAACTTACCTTTCTTTGGATGGTCTAAACTGGCTGCTTCTTTTTTTTCCCCTATTTTTCTTTTTAGATTTACAATGCTGCGTTAGTTTCTGGCACACAGCATAGTGGTTCAGTCACACACATGTATACATGTATTCCTTTCCATTACAGGTCCCTATAGACCACTGAGCACAGCTCCGTGTTCTCTGGGAAGGCCTCGTTGCTCCTCTGTTCTGTACGCAGTATGAACTGGCTTCTTTGTTGGTGTCCATCCTTTCTCTTGGACTCACCTCTCATTTTGTTAGGTTGTATCTTTTAGTCCTTCTTGAGAGACTCACAGTGTGTGTGGATGTTTACAGGCTGTGAAGACACCTGTACTTTGCTGTCTCACTTGAATGCTGACTTCACTGTGTGGTGTTCTAGGTTCTAGATTCAATTTTCTTAGAATCTTGACAGGCACCCCTTCGCCAGTTGCCAATCAGGTTCAGTCTGACTGAAGATTCTTTCCTCTCTGCGTTTTTTGAGCTGGTCTCTTCATCCTTGGGATTCCGGGAGGTCACTCCGACAGGCCTTCGCTCCTCCTGGGCGTCACTTGGTCATTGGAGAAGCCACTCCTCCCGATGGTCTCCGGCTTGGGGGCTTGCATCTGGCTTGCCCTGGGGGAGAAGGTGCAGGCCCTGTATGCCAGCCCTCTGCCGCTGCTGCCCTGGCACACCTGCACTCAGAAAGCCGATGTCTGTGGGAGCGGAGTGGACAGCTGCAGCTCCGGCCTCTGTGCTGATGTGGTTGGGGCCCAGGGCTGGGGCTGCTCACCTCCATCCAAGCATGTGTCCAGAGGTGGGATCTCGCCCAGGGCCTTGACCACTGGCTGACCTTGGCTGCAGTCCTACCCGCTCCACCCCGAGCCTTCACTCTTCAACCTGTACACTTGGTGCAGTGGAGCACCAGTGCGGCTTAGCAGGACCGCCCCCCCCCCACCTAGGACACTTGGGTGGACAGGGCCAGCCCACTCCCAAGAAGGCATATGGTGGAGAATCCTAAGCGGTGGACCTGCCCCACCTGTCCACGTGGGCACAGGCCTTACCAGCTCAGAAGGGCCCAGCCTCTGCCCTGGGGGCGTGCCCCATGCTGATGGCCTCCTGCCGCCCCTCCCCCGGGGCTGGGCTGCTTCTTGCCACTGCCCTAACCTCAAATCCTTGCGGAAACCAGGGAACATTCTGGGCCTCTTCCTCCTCTGAAAACATTTTAGGATTTAATCTGCGGATGGAAACTGTCATGAAACCACTGATTTTCGGGTTTAAACGAAGGCCAAGGTGGGAGCTGCCAGGGGAGACTGGCTCGGGCTCCGAGCCACTGCTGCTCCGGGGCCTTTCGGCTTCGCGGGGACCCCAGAGCGGGTGCTCAGGTACTAACTGCCCAGGTGCGAGGACCACGGCACTCAAAGGAGGCGGGCGGGCTGGGCAGACCCCCTGGAACCCCGCTGCCCCTCGCAGCCCCCAGTCCCCAGTGCTCCCCCACCCCTTCCA